CGCGCGTTTGGCGGGCCCGGCGCTCTGGATCCAGGCCCTGCTGCCGGGGCGGGTCTTGGAGGCAGCCCGCGCGCAAGCCATGCCCTGTAGGCGTCAGCCTGCACCGCCACAGCGCGGATGGAGTCCACCCCCCCGAAGATCTGCATCTCGATGTCCTAGGCGATCGGCTGCACGTATCCTCTGTCGTCGGCACGGAGCCCGACCACCGCTGGCAGCCCCAGTTGGTCCCCGTGCAGCCCGTCTCCGAGAGCCTGCGGCAGCAGGGGGCCCGACGCGCGGAAGGCGGACACGTCGGCGGGCGGCCGCTCTCGGAGGAACGCCGCGGCGTTCTCCCACCAGTGTGCTGCGGCAGGGTGCTGTCGCCACGCGGCGGCTTCCTGCCCGTCAAGCTGGCCCGCGGCGCCCAGGAGGAGCGGCACATACATCCAGGAGTTAAGGTAGCGGCTGGTCTCTGCAGCGTGTCGTGGAGGCGACCAGCCGCTGAACTGGGTTCGTGGGCCGTCCGCCGCCGGTGGGTCCGGGCTCCCGCCTCCTGCTCCTGTCTCTGGCGGCCGTTCCGGCTGTGCAGCCTCTGGCTCGGGCAGCGCTGTGGCGGCGCAGCTTTCGCAGAGCCAGTCTCCCTGCCACCTCCAAAGCCCTCCGGCGTCCCCGCTGGCCCGGGCGACCCACTCGACCTGCCCTGGCTGGCCGCAAGGGCACTGTGGCGGCCTCTCGCCCAGCGGCGGCGGGACCTCCCTACCGAGCGGGGCGACATCGCAGGCGGCGCATTCCCAGCTGCCCGTCAGCCCATCTGGCCCGCGCGAGTGTCGCCATCGCAAGGGTCGCTCCGGGTGGCGCGGGCACATGGCGATCGCGTGCGGTGCCGGCCCCTCCGGCAGCACGAGGGGCCCCCCTCGGTACCGGCTGGCCCGTTCCTCGTCGGAACTCGGGTCGCCTGCGACTCCCCGGCAAGGCAGGCAGCGGCACCCTCGGAAAGGGAGCCCCCCGCCGCGCCCAAGGTGGCCCGCCAGCTCCGCGAGCCGCGCGGCAGAGTTCGGGCCGTCGCCCCACCTGTGGTTGCAGAGTGGGCACGCTGCGTCCTCTACCCGGCTGGAATCGCCGCCCGAGTTCCGCAGGTGTGCGAGCCTGCGGCGAAGAGCGCGAAACCGGGCCAGGCAGGCCGCGTGGAAGCGGTGCGGGACGTGGCCGCAGTCGGGCCATTGCACCCTCGAGTCGTCGAGCAGCTCCTGGCACATGTAGCAAACCTCGCTGGCCTCTGGCTGCTCCGGCTCCTGGGGGTCCGGCCCCTGCTGTGGTTGCTGCGGCTGTTGCTGCTCCTCGGCCGCCGCGTTCGGCTGTCTCCCGCGGCGGCGCGAGCAGCCCAGAGAAGTCCCATCCGGCCGCAGGCGCCTGTCCGAAGACGGCGCTAAAGTGGCTCTGTCCGGCAGGCAGCGGCGACAGAGACCGGCCCGCCGAACCGAAGAGCTCTCGAGGGGGAGTCTCGGCTTCCGCCGGCCGGGGCGCGGATTCGCCCGAAACCTCGCCCGCTGGCTCGGGCAGGTCCGCTTGCGAGCGTCCGCGCGGCGGCGTGGCTGGGGCAGCATTGTTGTGCGGTGGCCCTGGGTGGCTCGCCTCACCCACGCGCTGTCCGCGGTAGCCGTACAGCGCGTCTCGCTGGTCCCTCCCTCGTGTGCGCAGCTCCTGTCGTGGTACAGGTGGTGCTGCCAGTGTCACTGCTGGTGCTGGTGCTGGTGCTGGTGGCGGCGCTGCCGGTCGCTGTCGTGGTGTTGCTGTTGGGCGCTGTCGTGGCGGTAGCGTCGGTGTTGCTGCTGGTCGCTGTCGTGGTGGTCGCTCTCGTCGTGAGCGCGGTCGTTGAGAGCCGCCGCCTGCCGCCATGGCTGTGTGCTGGCTGCCGTCGCTCTGGTCGCCACGGGACTGCCTGCCCTCGTGTGCTCCTCCCTTGACCTCCCCCTGAGACTTCAGAGTCCCTCCAAGAATACGTCGATCCTGAAATTTCGAAGTCAATCCGGGAGTCTGGGTCAGTGCAGCGCTGGGTGGTGCTCGTGGTGCCGGTGGTGCTGCTGGTGGCTGTCGTGGCGGTGGGGCTGCTGCCGTTGTTTTGCGCCGTCGTGGCTGTGGCGGTGCTGCTGGTGCTGCTGGTCGCCGTCGTGGTGCTGCTCGTTGCTATCTTGGTCGCCGTCGTAGTTTTCCTCCGCCTGTGGCCGCAGTTGGGTGCTGGCTGCTGTCGCCCTGGTCGCTGCAGTGCTGCCTGCTCTCGCGGCGCCCGTGGCGAAAGTGCGCTCTGGTCACGAGCGGCGCGCCCTCGCCGACCCCCGCCCGCACCATCTCTCGGTCGTCGTCGTTGTTGTGCTGCTGCTTGTGGCGCCACTGTTGAGAGTCGGCTTCTTGTTGTCGAAAATGTTGTCGCGTTGCTCCTGTGGGCTTGCTGCACAAGCCGGGGCGCCACCGGGCACCGCAGCGGAGCCGCGCGAACCCCGATGGGGAACTGGCCCCAGGGGAGTCCTACCGTGGGAAAGGGGCTCTCCCCCTGGGGGGCACGGGCTGCTGCTGACGCCAGCCCCCTCCCTCGGAAGGGGCTGGAGGGCTGGCGGCCAGACGGCTGGAATGGCCGTCTGGGGTGGCGGAGGGCCCTGCTGGCTGCCGCTGCTGCTGCTGCTGCTTTTGCTGCTGCTTTTGCTGCTTTTGCTGCAGCTGCTGCTGCCAGGGGGCTGCCGTCCGCAGTCGTTTTGTTTGTTGCTCGTTGTGGTGCTGGTGGGTGCGCTTGCGGTGGTGCGCGTGGCGCCGGGCCAAAGCAGGCGCGTTCCCCGAGTAGCCCCGCCCGCGCCATCTCCTTGTCAGCCTCGATTTTCTTGTGCGGTCGGCGCGGGGCCTGACCGTAACGCGGCCGCCCAGGGTGCAGAGGCAAGTTGCTCTGGTCGGGGCGTTGCTGCGGCAGCTGGTCCTCGTCGCGCGGCGCCTGACCCTTGGCCGCCTCTTGCGCTCTTCGGGTGGCGGCCTGGGCAAACCTTCTGCCAAACCTCTGTCAAAAACGCGCGCCGGTGGTGAAAACCCGTCGCCTGCTTCATGATCGCAATGTGCTCGGCGATCGCGTCCTCTAGGTCTTGTCTCGCGGCTCGTCGGCGAGCCCGTCAAAAGCCTTTGCGAGCGAAAGCTGCCCGGCACGGCGCCTGCCCAGCTTCTCTTGCCTCGAGTGCCCCCTCTTGGCGAAGGCCGCGGGTGCACCCTTTACGCGTGACAGTCGTGGTCTCGATGCTGCTTCCAGTTGTCGTGGTTTTGGTCGTTGCGGTGTCGCTTGGTGTGCGTGTGTTGTCCTTGGTGTTGCTGGTCCTGCTCTTCCTCTGCCTCTGCTTCGGCGGCCCGCCGAAAACGGAGGGACCCGAACGACTCATGATCAAAGTGGGCCCCTGCCTGAGCTGGCTGCTTTTCCTCGCGTGGGCCTCCGAAGTGCAGCGACGCCCCCCCGCTACCTCCCACAGGCCTGGTGGTGGGCTGGGGCCAGGCGGGAGCTCCGAGCTCCGCAGTGCCGCTCCTCTCCTGGCGGGGTCCGCCTGTGCGGCTGCTCCCGCCTTCACCTCTTCCTCCCCTCTCCTGGTGGGGTCCGCCTGTGCGGATGCCCCCGCCGCCTCCTCTGCCTCCCTCCTTCCTTTGCGGCGCTGCCTCGCGCGCCTCCACCTGAGGCGCTGCTCCTGTGCTCGCCTTGCGTGCGCGTCGCCTCCCCTCTCGCCGCGCCGCCGCTGCTTCCCCCGAGCGGCGACGCGGCAAGTCGGCATGCATGCAAGCTGGCCCAAGCGAGGGTGCCACCGCGCGCGGCCAGGGCCCGACCCCCCCCCCCCGAGCCCTTGCTTGAGCCAGCTGGGAAAACCTGCTGGGGAAACATTTGTTTTTTGTTTGTTTTTCCTGTTCCTCTCCTCTCCCAGTCCCAGTCCCAGTCCCAGTCCCAGTCCCAGTCCCAGTCCCAGTCCCAGTCCCAGTCCCAGTCCCCGTCCCAGTCCCTGGCCGAGTCTTAGTCACAGAAGCCAAACGCACTCGCACAATGAGCGCCAGTAGTTCAGGAGCCACACGCCGGCAGACCCGACGCGGGGCCCCCACCTGGGCGAGTTCCCGCAGGCGCAGCCCCGCTCCGACGCCACCACTTTTTTTTTTTTTTTGGCCTCCGCTGCGGCGGCCACTGACTGGACGCCACGCTGGTCCCGGCGGCTCCTCAGCACACTGCGGGCGCTCGCGGAGGTCGCACAGCGCGCAGTCTGGCAGGGGCCAGGATTGGCAGCCCACGCGACGCCGCCGCGAGGAGCGCGCTCGCCGTTACTCTAGCCCCCACCCGTGGCAGGCAGTCCTTGTGACCCTCCGCCAAGGGGACCTAGTCTGAGCGCAGCGACGCTGCGCCCGCCAGCCTGCCGGGGAGAGCAAGCTGCCACTTCGAGGCGGCCCCGCCGCCACCGCCACCGACCTGGCTCGCCCAGCCGCGAAGCAGCGGCCACGCCAACCTGTCCACCCAGACTGCTTGCAGCGAAGCTCAGCCCGGCCCCGTTTGCAACGCCGCTCGTTGCCCTGGCCGGCCGTCGGCACCACACGCTACGCAACCCAGCCCGGCAGCGCGTGCGTGGCTCTCCCGCGGGGGGGGGGCCCTACCAGGTGCTGTCGATCAATCCTGGCTCCTCAGCGGGTGGCAGCTGCCGCTCCTTAGAGAACCCCTTGCCGCAACCGGCCCGCTGCCTGCCGCGTTTCCTGGCACCGCAGGCGGAGGGCCACCGTGCGCCCGGCGCCCGGCGCCAGGGCGCAGCCGGCCGCAGTCGCAGGGACCCCCGCGAAAGGAAACAGAGGCCCGCAGCGCCAGTGGCCCCTGACGTCCGAAGGCCTCCGACGAGAACGAGACCAAGGCCTCACCGTAGCGCGCCAGCTCGTCCGTCTCTCCGCCGCGAGCCGCCCCCCCCGGGACAGCGCGCGGCCGCCGAAAATCGCCGGCGAAGGAGGAACGCAGAGTGACTTCTAACAGGAAGCGCCTGCCCCGCCAGCCACGGTGCCGCGAGGTCCTCGAGGCGCCCCTGGACCACGCCGTCGGCGAGGACGCAGAGTTCGGAGATGCAGCGCTGGATGTCCACGAAGGCGCCCGCGAGCTCCACGCGGCGGCGCAGGATGGCACCGACCGCGCCGCGGCCCCGGATGCGCCCGCCACGGCCCATCGGGCCACTGGGACGATGGAGATCATCGCCCAGTGGCGCACCACAGGAATCATCATCGTCAGACCCTCGCAGAGAGCAGACAAGGCCTCGCTGGGGCGGCGCAGCCGTGCCCAGCCGAGCCCGAGTAACACTCGCCCACGGCGTGCCCGCGCCCTCGCTGCCCGACGAGAGTAAGCAGATATGCCGGTGTTGCTCCTCTAACCCCGCCTCGCGACGACGGCGGATCGAGGCGCTAGGCCCTCGAAGGGCCTTGCCTCTCAGGCCGCCTCGCCCCTCCTCCTCGGATGATGATGATGATGATGATGATGATGATGATGATGATGATGATGATGATGATGATGATGATGATGATGATGATGAGGAGGAGGAGGAGGAGGAGGAGGAGGAGGAGGAGGAGGAGGAGGACGAGGATGAGGATGATGATAATTCGCCGGCCCAACGGGCCAGAGGCGTGCTAAGATCTCCGGTAACTGCTCTACAATGTTTCTACTTCGCGCGCGCGGGGCGGCCCCTGGGGGTCCCCAGACGAAAAGTACCCCGACCAGGTCCCGGCCGGTCCCCGGCAAGGTCCCCGGCAAGGTCCCCGGCAAGGTCCCCGCAAGGTCGGGCCAGAGATGCCGGAGCCCTGTTACAGGGCCCCAGGACGGGCCAAGAGGCCCCCAAGAAGCCTCCAAGACGGTCCAAGAGGGCCCCGAGACGGCCAAAGATCGCCCGAAGACGCCCAACAGGGCCCCAAGACAGCCCAAGAGGCCTCCAAGACGCCCCAAGGGCCTTCCAAGAGGCCTCCGAAGAGGGCCCCAAGAGGCCAAAATCGTTGATTTTCATTGTTTTTGTTCGTTTTTTGCGTTCTGGCTTTTTCGGCTTCCGGACGCTCCAAGACGGCCCAAGAGGCCCCCAAGACCGCTCCAAGACGGCCCATGAGGCTCCCAAGACGGCCCCGGAACGGCCCAGGAGGGCCCCCAAGACGGCCCAAGTGCCGCCCAAGACGGACCAAGAGGCCCCAAGACGGGCCCAAGAGGGGCTCAAGAGGGGAACCGAGAACTGAAAAATCGAGCCCTCCGCCCCAGAAGGCGCCCAGGAGGCCCCAAAAAGGCCCCAAGAGGCCCCCAAGAGGCCCCCAAGACGCCCCAAGAGGCGCCCAAGAGGCCCAAAAGAGGCCCCAAGGCCCCAAAACGGCCCCCAAGAGGCCCCAAAACTCGGCTAGCCCACAACTGTGCGACAATATGGGCCGGCGGAATGAGCGAAGCGATTAAATAATAATAATGGCGATGATGATGATGATAATGATAATGATGATGATGATGACGACGATGATGATGATGTCAATGATGATGATGATGATGATGATGATGATGATGATGATGATGATGATGATGATGATGATGATGATGATGATGATGATGATGATGATGATGATGATGATGATGATGATGATGATGATGATGATGATGATGATGATGATGATGATGATGATGATGATGATGATGATGATGATGATGACGATGATGATGATATGATGATGATGAGGAGGAGGAGGAGGAGATGAGGAGGAGGAGGAGGAGGAGGATGAGGATGAGAGATGAGGATGAGGATGAGGATGGATGAGGATGAGGATGAGGATGAGGATGAGGATGAGGATGAGGATGAGGATGAGGATGAGGATGAGGATGAGGATGAGGATGAGGATGATGATGATGATGATGATGATGATGATGATGATGACGATGATGGCGAGATGAATTCTGGATCGTAAGGCGACACTCCACGGGACCCCCAGCAGCCCTTGAAAATGGCGACGGTTTCGCAGTTCGCAGCCCGCCATGGATGGCGATGTAATCTGAATATGGGTAAGGCGTCACTCCGCTGGACACCCCAGCAGCTCTCGAAAGGGGCGACTTTTTCGCAGATCGCGGAGCCCTCAGAAATAGCGAGGTCTAATCTGAGCCTGCGTAAGGCGTCACTCTGCTGGACCCCCATGCGCACTCGACAGTGCCAACAGATGGCGAGGTCACGCAGAACGGCGAGGCAGGAGGCAGGCTGGCAGGCAGGACAGGAAATGCAGGCTGGCAAGCAGAAGAGGAGAGGTGAGAGGCAGGAGTGAAGAGGAGGGAGGCGAGAAGGAGGCGTGCGACTGCAGCGCTCTATTGACAACGACACCCAACGCGGGAGGGCTGGGAAAAACGCAGACGTGCCCCCCAGCAAACGTGCGCCCAATAACACCACGAGGTTGGGGGAGGGACCTTCTGCGGACCCCCCCCGCCCGGCGCTCGGCCCACCTCCCCACCCCACCCCCGTTGCGCCCGCCCGAGCGCGGTGGCGGAATCGCGCGGCAGAGCCACTTTTATTATAATATATTCAAAAACAATCATACAACAAAAAACAAACAAAAAAAACAGAAGGGTTGGGACAAACTCAGAAGTGCCCAGCAAACGTGCGCCCAATAAGGAGGTGGCTGCCACTACGAACTCCGACTCCTCACGCGCAGCCATATGGCACGCCGCAGGTCCACCGGTCATCCGCCTCTCCCACGCGACGGTGTGGGCGCACACCGAGCACGAGAGCACTCCTCTGGAGGAGCAGCCCGAACTCCACCAGTGAGGCTCCAACAAAGAAATGAACACTCACACGCAGTGCAATGCCATGGTGGAAAGACAACAGGAGACCCATGCTGCAGGCAGAATGCTGCCAGTCCACCGTCACATCAACAGAACAAGACTGCAGGAACGGACCCGACGTTGACCAGTGATGCTCCAGCACATGAATGGCCCCCCCTGCTCAGAGAAACGTGAATGTAGAACACAAATTCGCAACTCCCCATGTGCACATCATTATGCAAAGTACAACTTCCGAAGGAAACGGTGAAACTGCTGGAAGAGAACGAATGCAATGCCGCAGATACAACTCCACACAAGAAACTGCCAAACCATGACAGGCCCAGACAATATCAGAAACTGACCATAGGAAAACTTCCAAACACCACGCTCCTTCCGAGGACGCACCCCCGCCAGACATCCAAACCCAGGCATCTCGAACAGGCCGACACGTGCAACATCACTTCCAACAAAACACGATCGTTTGCTCCAGCCCACCTGCGTGCATACAAAAACGTAAGACGCGACGCTTGCCGCTGCCCTCCACTGCACCCAAACGACAACATACCAAACGCTCACGCCGGCAACGCTCTCACATACGACCACTACTGAAAATAAGCATAACAATAAACAAGCGTGGCAAACAGAAAACCACAAAAAAAAGTGGCGCTTGCCTGTGCGCGCACCCAAAACAATAAAAACGACAACACCAAGTGCCGCAACATGACGAGCAAACGCCACACGCAGATACCCTCCAATAAGCCAGGCACGGAACAGCCGATAAACCCTCAAACTGGCCGACGCACCAAAGATTGAGCGACAAACAGCATCGACAAACGACAATGCACCAGCGACTCATCAACACACCCCATACCACACACAGACACTCAGACAGACACGCGGACTGGCCTCACACCTACTTCTACATCCTCCGTGCTCCTCATTCCTCCTACCTGTTACTTGTCATCCCCGCCACCTCCTCCCACGCCTCCATACAGTCCTCCAACCTACTCCTACATCATACAACATCCTCCCGCCGACCCCCTCCCCGGCTCCAGCCCTGACTCCCTCACCTCGTCCTCCCTACTCTATTCCTGGTGTGGAACCTCCGGGAAGCCCGCGAAGTGGCAAAAATTGCGAAATTGCTGCCCCCCAAGCAAAAACAACAACAGATCGGCTAGGAATTCACATGACCCCCGAACTCCACAGGACAGTCCAAGAGCCCACGATCATCAGCGCCATCGTCATCGTCGTCGTCGTCGTCATCGTCATCATCATCATCATCATCATCATCATCATCATCATCATCATCATCATCATCATCATCATCATCATCATCATCATCATCATCATTCATCATCATCATCATCATCAGCATCATCATCATCATCAGCATCATCCTCATCATCATCCTCATCCTCATCCTCATCATCATCATCAGCATCATCCTCATAATCATCATCATCATCATCATCATCATCATCATCAGCATCAGCATCATCATCAGCATCATCATCAGCAGCATGAGCAACATCATCAGCAGCATCATCATCATCCCCACCACACTCGCCATCATGATCATTATGATGATGATCATGAACATCATCAGAAGCAGCAGCGGCATCAGCATCATCATCGTCATCATCAACGTCGTCATCAGCATCAGCATCATGATCATTATCATCAAAAACAGTATCATCATCAGCATCAGCGTCATCAACATCATCATCATCATCATCATCATCATCATCATAGCAGCATCATATTATCATCATCACCACCACCACCAACACCACCATCACCATCATCATCATCGACAGCAGCATCATCAGCATCAGCAGCATCATCATCATCATCATCATCATCATCATCATCATCACCACCACCACCACCACCATCATCATCATCATCATCATCCTCATCCTCATCCTCATCCTCATCCTCATCCTCATCCTGATCATCATCCTCATCCTCATCCTCATCCTCATCCTCATCCTCATCCTCATCCTCATCCTCATCCTCATCCTCATCCTCATCATCATCATCATCATCATCATCATCATCATCATCATCATCATCATCATCATCATCATCATCATCATCATCATCATCATCATCATCACATCATCATCATCATCATCATCATCATCATCATCAGCATCATCATCATCATCATCATCATCATCATCATCATCATCATCATCATCATCATCATCATCATCATCATCATCATCATCATCATCATCATCATCATCATCATCATCATCATCATCATCATCATCATCATCATCATCATCATCATCATCATCATCATCATCATCATCATCATCATCATCATCATCATCATCATCATCATCATCATCATCATCATCATCATCATCATCATCATCATCATCATCATCATCATCA